TGCAGTATCCTTCCCCTGCTATGCCCACCAAGCCACGCCCACAGAACCAGTAGTAAAAAAAATTGAATCCCACTACCGATTGAGGTGGCAGATAAGCTGCACGCATGGATGCACAAATGAACGGATGCTTGGAGAATTCCATGCGAGATCGGCAGAGTGAAATATTTACAGACCAACAAATCATCGCAGAACGATTGTTTGAAATCTCCCGTTCTCCCAAGCAACCTCATCCAGCGGGCTGATTGGCAGAATTAGTTAATTTGGTCCTTCCCGAAATCGACATTTTGACATGTTTGTTAGAGGGAGGAAGCACTGCAGTAAAAATACTGTATCATTGTACATTGGGAAATAGGATGTTGGTTGGGGTAGTTTCCATAATAGAGGACCACAATTTGATAAATCCAATTTGCTTTGTTTGCTGGTAGCTTGTGAGGGTTTTTTTTTTTTAATCTCCTTTTCCATGGCTCCTTTTTTTTCCTTTCCGCCAGTTGGGAACATTAGGAAGGAAAATAATTGCGTGATATTATTTGCACGTTCTGGATTCCACGTGCAAAAGTGGGGGACGCTCTCAGAAGATAATCTCAGCGCAAAAACACAGCAACCAAGCGCGCCCATTCTTTCCAAAAAAAGGGCATAGAAATTGTCTTGCACTTTGTAATAGTTAAGCGCTGACATTCAATTATAAGTAGAGGTAGTCCTCGACTTAACAACCACAATTGAGCGAAAAATGTAGGTTGCTAAGTGAAACATTCGTTGAGCGAGTTTTGCCCCATTTTATGACTTTACTTGCCACTTCTTGTGAAGTGAATCGTTGCTGTTGTTAAATTAGTAAACCTGGTTATTAAGTGAATCTGGCTTTCCCCATTGACTTGGCTTGGGAGAAGGTTGGAAAATGTTGATTGCAGGACACTGCAACGGTCATAAACATGAACCAGGTTCCAAGCATCTGAATTTTGATCACAGTGACCATGGGGTATGCTGCAGTGGTCGTAAGTGTGAAAAATGGTCATAAGTCACCTTTTTTCCAGTGTCGTTGTAACTTTGAATGAACTGTTGTAAGTCAAGGACTGTCTCTAATGCCTTGTTGCATCTGGTCAGTTGGTAGACCTCACTTTGCGGCTGTCCTATTTAACAACGGTTTGAAGCTATGATGACATCCAAAAAGTAACTTTAAGGCCAGTCCTTCTATTTATGACTCTTGCAGCATCCTGTGGTCATAGTGTCATTATTTGCTAGCTGACTTCTGACAAGCAGAGCCAGGGGAGAAGCTAGAATTAATATTGCAATCACATTCATGTCTTGTCTCACTTAATGACTGTAATGACTCACTTGATGACCAAGTCGGAACTGATGTCACAAGCCTCAATGATGTTTTACTTAACTATGTTGCCTAATTAACAGTATTAACAGATAATCAGAGTTGGAAGGGACCTTGTAGGTCATCTAGTCCAACCCCCTGCCCAAGCGGGAGACCCTACACCATTTCTGACAGATGGGAATCCAATCTTTTCTTGAAGGTCTCAAGTGATGGTGCTCCACAACTTCCGAGGACAAGCTGTTCCATGGATTGATTGCTCTCACTGTCAGAAAATTTCTCCTTATTTCCAGGTTAAATCTCTCCTTGTTCAGTTTCCATCCATTATTCCTTGTCTGGCCTACAAGCGCTTTAGAAAATAGCTTGACCCCTTCCTCCTCTCTGTGGCAAATATTGGAAGGCTGCTCTCCTGTCTCCCCTGGTCCTTCTCTTCCCTAGACTAGCCAGGCCCAGTTCCTGCAACCGTTCTTCATATGTTTTAGTCTCCAGTCCCCTAATCATCCTGGTTCTCTTCTCAGTACTTTTTCTAGTCTCAACATCTTTTTTATAATGTGGTGACCAAAACTGGATGTAGACTCTAGGTGTGGTCTTACTAAGGCTTTATAGAGTGGTATTAGTATCTCACTTGATCTCGTTTGTATCACTCTGTTAATGCAATTTAGGATTGCATTAGCTTTTTTGGCTGCTGCTGCACACTGCTGGCCCATATTTAGTTGGTTGTCCACTAAGACTCCAAGATCCCTCTCACAGTTACTGCTATTGAGTTACTGGTTTCAACCCAGTCTATATGTGTATGTTTGGTTTTTCTTGCCTAAGTGTAGGACTTTACTTTTCTCTACATTGAATTTCATTTTGTTAGATATTGTCCAGTGTTCTAGTCTGTCAAGATCCATCTGGATCTTGAGCCTATCTTTTTGGGTGTTAGCTATTTCTGCCAGCTTAGTATCATCTGCAAATTTGGTAAATTCCCCTTCTATTCCCTCATCTAATGCTGGAGTTACCAATCCTAATTATTGTAATTTCTAAGCGAGAACTACTTGTGCTCTACATTGGAAAGTATCCTATAACAGAAGAATTTTGTGATGGCATCTCTTCTACACCTCTGATAGTCCCTCCTTGTTTGCATTTTTTTGACAAAAGATATTCAGTTCTCTACTGCATCTGATCAGGAGGCAGCAGCAAATGATCATAATAATTAACTATTTTTTTTCTCTAAGATGGTATAAGGTGAAGGGCTGGGATGAAATGAAAGGCAGTTTTCCTGATTTCACATTGTTAAATTACTATGTGAACTGAACTCTATCGTTTTGAATTCTCATTTCTCCGTATTCGGTGAAGCCCTTCTCTAATTGTTCAATCTCACCCAAATGTTGCATATAATAGTGAAAAATCAAACAAAATTGCAGTATGTTAAGGAATACAGTTTCAGGCAAGAATAAATACCTTCTTTTAGATTCTTAGATTCTAGTGAAATATCTCTGTAATTTGGCTTTGGTAAAGAACCAGATAAGTAAGGAATCAACCACAAGACAATAATAATGGGATGAAGTTTGTAGAACCCCAAAATTTAATAATATTTTGTAATGTTAAAAGTTACTGAAATCTTTCCAGATTTCTGTGGGTTCATGAGATTTAAAACAAGGACACAAATCAGAAAGAAATGTTGGAAATCCTGTAAGATTTTGACCAGTGTATATCTTTGGGTGAAGGCATGAAAATATGGTTGATGTCTACTCCACTGAAAAACTGTTCTGTATCAATGGGCTAATTATGAAGAAGGATGTTAATTTAAACCTGCAACACAGAAGGAATTGTTGATGCTTCTGTGATATAAAAGAAACAGAATTTCGGCAAGGAACATCTAAGAAAAGACGAAAATCGGATTTAGGAGACTGAAGGGTAAAACGTACGAAGAATGGTTGCAGGAATTGGGAATGTTTAGTTTAGTGAAAAGAAAAGACATGATAGCAGTCTTCCAATATTAATGGGCCTGCCACAAAGAAGGTATGAGTCAAATCTATTCTCCAAAGCACCAGGACAAGAAACAATGGATGGAAACTAATCAAGGAGAGAAGCAACCTAGAACTAAGGAGAAATTTCAAGCCAGTCAAAACAATTAACCAGTGGAACAACTTGCCTCCAGAAATTGTAGATGCTCCAACACTGGAGGTTTTTAAAAATAGATTGGACAACCATTTGTCTGAAGTGGTTGTCCAATCTCTTTTTAAAAACCTCCAGTGTTTTGTCTGGAATGATATAAGGTTTCCTGCTTGAGCCAGAGATTGAGCTAGAAGACCTTTAAGATCCCTTCCAACTCTGTTATTGTTATTTTTACCCAGAAATGTAGCATTTCTTTTTTTTTTTTCCAGTGGGAATTTCCTGACTTTTGGCTCCTTAAAGCCAGGGTATTATTAGGAAAGAAAATGTGGACAGCATTTTCCATGGAAGCAAAGAATCTGATTCTTATCTCATTCTAGTGAAAAGTTGCATTTTAAAACCAGCCTTTAGCATTTTAGTATATTTAACATCCTTCTTTCCCTCTTCTCTGAGCAGGATAATCCAGAGGGGTTTAAAAAAGGAGGAAATATTTGAGAGGGCGGACAGTTTGGCATCTGTCTGTTGAAAGCACCCTTGGAAAAAAAAAAATTGAGACAATGTCTTATTCTGTCTGTCTGAAAGCTGGAGAACCGAAATTTTGCTAAGCAGGGCACGTGGTTTTAGGGAGACAAGATCTCCAATAAAAAAACACAAAAACAAAAGAAATTAGCACTAAGTACTTTTTGTTTCTGCTCTCTGTTTAAAATATGCTTGGAATGAATCATCATACAGATGGCTTGATGGTTGCAAGAAATAGTTCAGTGTCTTTAAAGCGGGGGAAAGAATCTTAAAGCTAATCTTCTGGTGCTATTATTGAAGCAGATCAAATCTAAAGTCCACTTTAACTTGCTTATTGAGTTGGAGGACATCACCAAATGTCAGCTGCATTTAGCCCAGCGTATTCCTGGGTTTTGCAGAAATAGGTTTGCTCAAATAGGTAATGCAATCACTGGGTGATTTCAGGGGCCCAGGCTGTGATATCAGTAGTCAAGGACAGCAGAGCCTGTTGGCGCATTCTCTTATTTAAAAATCAAACTTGGTTGAGGTCTGTTGTGGGGCTGGTGCACGTCCACAAAGAACATAGGGATTTACCTAGAATTGTGCAGTAGGTGGAGAGGAACGGCTGGATGGAAGTGAGTAGCAAAGAACTGCCTGCTTTAATGCGGGCTGAGCTGACCACTAAGCTGTGTGGGCTGAACTGACCACTAGATGGCAGCAGTGAGATATTGTTAGACATCTCTGTGTCTTTGCTGTCATCTAGTGGTCATAGAGAATCCTGCTACATGGCAGATTCATGTAGATTCCAGACCAGGAATATGTCCTT